GTGGAATTGCAGGACATGTGGCCCTTACAAAAGAAAATGTCAATATTACTGATGCCTATCAAGTATTTAATGACTAAAAATTATTACTCAATTACTTAAAAAGATTTTATTTATTAAATATCTATTATATAATAGGATAATAGATTTAATAAAGAGATCGATTTTTGTACCGGCTATCACACAAAAGCAATTGTAAGTATATTTATCAATATTACACAGAATAAGCCAGAATTTGAGCTGTACACTACAATTGTGACAAATGAATGAATGTTAAACAAGTTGTGTAATTGTTACCCAGATGTGTCAGCCAATACTAAACTTCAGCGGCGATGTCATAGGAGTGGCGCAATGTATTAATAAAACAAACAATTCTTCGCAACAATCATTTACAAGACGTGATGAACAGGTATTTGTAAAATGCATATAATTGTGTAATTTATTAACCATTAGTTTAAATGTATTTACATTATACTTTATATTAATAATATTGTAATTGATAATGGGATAACGGAATATTGTTTTGTATTTAAAAAACATTATTGTACAATAAATTGTTTTTAATTACCGTTCATAACCATGTTTATTATTAAAGGTATTTCAGAAATATTTAACATTTTGTGGAATTGGTCTTCAAAACGCACAGTTATTTGAAATGTCTATCAATGAATATAAAAGAAACCAGGTATGTTTTAAATGTTTATTTAATGTTTATTGTTATACAGTATTAGGTTTTATAGAAAAGTTTGGCATTACATGTAAATTCTTTTAGTGTTACTTTTCTTATAATGTCTAACTCTTAACAAAATTAGAGTGTTAAGATAAATTTAAACATTATTTATAAAAATTAACCATAATTAATTACACGAAAATTTTAATTAAATTTGCACTTAATTTCAATTAAAACATGGACAACTGGATATGAAGTTATTGTTGAGCTTAGCAAGGTCTATTTTTCAAGAGACGTCTTCATTGGATGCTTTAATAAAGAAGATAATGACGAGGGCTCAGGGACTCCTCCAAAGTGACAAATGCCGCGTCTATTTAGTTGACATCGAAGGACAACAATTTCACGAAGAATATTGTGAAACAATGCGTTTACATATGAATATTGGACAACAAGTCAACAAACAATTAAGCCCTGATGTGAGTTTTTTGTTTGAAAGTTCTCTCTCTCTCTCTCTCTCTCTCTCTTTCTTTCTTTCTTTCTCGTATTAAGTTTATGCACTTGTTTTAATATTGTATCGATATTTACAATATACTTAATTATAAACTTAATTAATAAATATTTTATAAATATATTTTACAATATATAATTTGTTTAATAGTTATTTTCTCTTAGGATCTCATGTTTTCAACTATTTTTGAACTAAAGATGGGAAGCAATGAAATATTAAAACTTTCGTGAGTTTCTGTTTTTACAAATTCTGTTTGCGTTTATAAAAATTTGTTTCAATATTTTTGCCAAAAAACTTGAAATATTTTTAGAGAAATGAGTGAATTTGAATCAATGATTGACGGATCGCACGTATCCTATGCAAGACAAGTAGCATCTGTAGGACAGGTACTGTATATCTCAAACTAATAACACAAAAATGACTGAAATGTATTTGCTTTTAATAAGACATACAAATGCAATGACAAAAGTGGCAAAAGTGAAACGAGTGATAGAATTATCAGAACTTTTGTAAGTTTTCTATTCTGTTGACAATTGAATGGAAATCACAATTGAACTGAAATAATAGGCAAAAGAAAGGCCGGGAATTGTCTTAACAGACAATGAGAACGATTGTGTGCTTTCGGTTCCTATATTTAACAATGAGTCGAAAGTGATAGGAGTCTCACAATTAGTCAAAACAAAAGGACAACAATTTAATGACGTCGACATCTCTACTCTTGAGGTACACTATCTTTCAATACATACTATTCCTATATTCTCTCAATTCTGTCATACCTTATAATCAAACTAATTGTGTGAAGTTATCGTTAAATATATTTTGTTTTTGAATCAGACATTTCTATAATTGCTATTGATTTACGTAAAGCATTATTTTTGGTTCACTTAATTCAAGTATTCATTTTTTAAATTGTAAGCCCAAAGATCTACTTTTAATACTTTATAAGTCGTTTATATTTTTCTAAAATAAAACAATTTCATGTGAAATGTTTTAAATATAATATTTGGGTTTACAAAATATTTTTAATAACAATCATCTGATTTTAAAATAATAAATATGAAGAATAAAATAAATGACCTTTATATTTATATTTTGCATTTATATTTATCGATATCAAATATTTCTCTTTATCCATTCAATGATGGTTCAAATATTATATTATTTTGAAGTAATTTTGCACAAAAGAGATTCTGTAGTATTTATTATATACTGTATGTATAAATTAAAATTTATTAAAATTAATTTATTTTAAATTTTATTTTAAAAGAATTTCATTCAAAGTTTATATAAATATTCTTTATAATGACAGAAAATTGACTTTATTTATAAAAATCATGAGATTATTTGTTTTAAAAATAATAGGCATTTTCAATATTCTGTGGCTTTGGGATACATAACTCATGTTTGTATGAAAAAGCACTCAAATTGACAGCCAAACAGAAAGTAGCGCTCGAAGTGCTCTCATATCACGCCTCGGCTTCAATCGATGAAACGAAAAAACTTATGGTTTTTGCAAACAAAATAGGATTCACTGAAAAAGCATTTATTTAATAAAATATCTAATTTTCTAGAATTTGGCGATTCCTGACGCAAACGCATACCAATTATATTCATTTGAATTCTCAGATTTTGGTTTGGATGAGAGGGACACCTGTTCTGCAACACTTCGCATGTTCTTAGAACTCAAACTTAATAATACATTCAAAATTCCATATCAGGTAATCATATATTCAACATTCATAGTCTATTCTTCTTACACAAGCCTTGCAAGCATTAAGTAAAGAAATAAATAATTAAATGAACTATTCTTTATAAAGATGCTCAAAGAAGCGAACATTTATATGTAAAAAGTTATCATTTTATATGCTAATAGTTTTAGAGATTTTTAGATAAAGTTTATCTTAAAACAAAATAATGGTTTTGGTATAAAAATAACAAACAATTCATTTCTACAAAGTACATGTTATTATAATGTTTAATTTATTATAATAAGTATTAATGGTTTCATTGTATTGGTTTGCTTGAATGTATAGATTCTATGTAGATGGATTCTTAGCGTTAAGAAAAACTATCGACCCGTAAGTTATACTCTATTTAAAGAATATTCGTTATCACTGTTACTATTGATATTTATTAATATTTTGAATCATAGGTTACTTACCATAATTGGAGACATGCATTGAATGTCACGCAAACCATGTTTGCCATTTTAACAGTTAAGTGAATAATTTACTTTTTGTGTCATCTCATAACTGAATTGTTTAGCCGACAAAATAGTCAAACAAATACTTTATGCGACAATTGGTCTTCAAAGAAGAGTTGTATTGAAATACAAACTTCTGATACAAAATCGTTGACAACAAATGACGAAGAATTACTGACCGCTTCGTACAAACAAATAGCCAAAGAGGGCAGAAATTCTGTTACATCTGATCTCTTCCATCAATTTGTTGAATGCAATTCACGAAAAACAAAGAGTGTCATCAAAACGACCGGTTCGTCTCAATAGCACTTAATTATTCTGTATTTGTTATTACAGTACAGTATATGATATTATAATAACATTATGTTATGAAATGATGAATAGATGATAAAGTGACGAGAGATGAGTTGGAGGATAGGCTCCGGGATTTGGATGAAGTGGACTTATTTATGAAACTAATCAGTGATATCACTAATGAACTCGATATCAATACCTTATGTCATAAGATTTTAGTGAACGTCAGTATCTTAACAAAGAGCGATAGGGGCTCTCTATTCCTGGCCAAAGGCAGTCGAGATGACCGCTATTTAGAGGCAAAACTGTTTGATGTCACGTCAGACAGTCTTCTGAAGGATGCATTGAATGCCGCCAAACAGTACACCAATATTCCACTCCCTTTTGGTCAGTATATTATTCTTTCTTTTATTATTATTTCTATTATTAAATATTTAAATAGCTTATAAATAATTATATATTTTGATAAAATGTCATTCATCAATATTTGAAAGAATTTGATATACAGTATAAGGATTTCTATTTAATAAGTACAACATTTTCCGGCCTTATGTTTATACGACTAGCAAAAATTGGTATTTGCTAACAAAACCATTCAACCGCTATTCAATTTACACATTTATTAGCTTTAATTTTATTTTTAAAAATTATTAAAATTATATCAAGAAATTATTGTTTTACTTAAAAGAAATTATATGGGCTACATTAGAAAATCTGGTGATTTTAGTTGTAACTAAATCAAATAAATCAGGTTGTCCACAGAAACAATAGACCCGTTTTTGGGCTATGCATTGGTTATTAACCAATTATATGGATTTCTCAGAGAATCAATTCCTGTGAATATAACCTGAAAATCGTCACCAAATCGACCGACAAGTGGACAATCATGTGCTAAAAGATCGGGTTGTGTTTGATCTATGATTTTTATGTATGGAATTATTGTTCACTATATGTTTCCACTGGACTTTTGTTCATTTGTTACCATTTAAAACCGAATGCAAAAATATCCAGATCAGATATTTGGACATACATTTGTATACCCAAAATATGGCTATTTTGGCCTATTTTTAGACTACATTTTTGAAAATCATCAAAAATAAAATAAATTTTTATAAGAAGTTTTCTCACTCCCATAATATTCTTCTGTTATTCCTCTATAATATCACTTTTTCACTGTTCTCTGAAATCAAGTCTTACGGTTGGAAATTGAAAATGAAGAGTATTGGTCGAAACAGAACCTCAACACCTTTTACTGCTTTCCTTAGAACAGCCATTTTTTCGGAAAGTAAATGAAAATTTGTCCCAATAATGGCCAATACTTGCCGACACTAACGGCCAATATGTCCTTTGAATTATTTACTTGCTTGTAAAATTGAGTTTTCAATTTACCATGATAATTTGTACTTATTAAATCGAAAGCCTTATAACTTTATTTAAAATGTACAATGTACAATCGTATATATTTATAAAATTATTTGTAATTTTATTAAAAGGAAGTGGAATTGCAGGACATGTGGCCCTTACAAAAGAAAATGTCAATATTACTGATGCCTATCAAGTATTTAATGACTAAAAATTATTACTCAATTACTTAAAAAGATTTTATTTATTAAATATCTATTAAATAATAGGATAATAGATTTAATAAAGAGATCGATTTTTGTACCGGCTATCACACAAAAGCAATTGTAAGTATATTTATCAATATTACACAGAATAAGTCAGAATTTGAGCTGTACACTACAATTGTGACAAATGAATGAATGTTAAACAAGTTGTGAAATTGTTACACAGATGTGTCAACCAATACTAAACTTCAGCGGCGATGTCATAGGAGTGGCGCAATGTATTAATAAGACAAACAATTCTTTGCAACAATCATTTACAAGACGTGATGAACAGGTATTTGTTAATTTGTAAAATGCATATAATTGTGTATTCTATTAACCATTAGTTTAAATGTAAAATGACAAATACATAAAATATATTTACATTATACTTTATATTAATAATATTGTAATTGATAATGGGATAACGGAATATTGTTGTGTATTTAGGAAACATTATTGTACATAAATTGTTTTGATTACCGTTTATAACCATGTTTATTATTAAAGGTATTTCAGAAATATTTAACATTTTGTGGAATTGGTCTTCAAAACGCACAGTTATTTGAAATGTCTATCAATGAATATAAAAGAAACCAGGTATGTTTTAAATTCTTATTTAATATTTATTTTTACATTAGGTCTTATAAAAAAGTTTGGCATTACTAAGGCCGTATGAAGTAGGCACAATAGTGTTATGCATCACTCTCATATTTTCAAGAAAATGTAACATATATTTACTAGTATTAAAACATACACATAAAAACCGGTTTTGAGCAAACAATATTTTAAAGAAAAATATTAAAATTAATTCCAGGTCACATAATATATATCAGATATTAAGATAGGACAATTTTTGATCAATTTTTAAAATTAAATATAGTGTTTATTTTAATTAAAGTGTAAATCACTTGCTTTTTATATGAAAAAGGTGTTCCTATCTTAACATTTGATATAAATAATGTGACTTGGAGTTAATTCTAATGTTTTGCATTAAAATACTGTTTGCTCAAAACCGGTTTTTATGTGTATGTTTTAATACTAGTAAATATATGTTACATTTTCTTGAAAATATGAGAGTGATGCATAACACTATTGTGCCTACTTCACACGGCCTTAGGCATTACATGTAAATTTTTTTAGTATTACTTTTCTTATAATGTCTAACTCTTAACAAAATTAGAGTGTTAAGATAAATTTAAATATTATTTATAAAAATTAACCATAATTAATTATATGAAAATTTTAATTAAATTTGCACTTAATTTCAATTAAAACGTGGACAACTGGATATGAAGTTATTGTTGAGCTTAGCAAGGTCTATTTTTCAAGAGACGTCTTCATTGGATGCTTTAATCAAGAAGATAATGACGAGGGCTCAGGGACTGCTCCAAAGTGACAAATGCCGCGTCTATTTAGTTGACATCGAAGGACAACAATTTCACGAAGAATATTGTGAAACAATGCGTTTACACATGAATATTGGACAACAAGATAACAAACAATTAAGCCCTGATGTGAGTTTTTTATTTGAAAGTTTTCTCTCTCTCTCTCTCTCTCTCTCTCTCTTTCTTTATTTCTTTCTCGTATTAAGTTTATACACTTGTTATAATATTGTATCGATATTTACAATATACTTAATTATAAACTTAATTATTAAATATTTTACAATATATAATTTGTTTAATAGTTATTTTCTCTTAGGATCTCATGTTTTCAACTATTTTTGAACTAAAGATGGGAAGCAATGAAATATTAAAACTTTCGTGAGTTTTTGTTTTTACAAATTCTGTTTGCGTTTATAAAAATTTGTTTAAATATTTTTACCAAAAAAACTTGAAATATTTTTAGAGAAATGAGTGAATTTGAATCAATGATTGACGGATTGCACGTATCCTATGCAAGACAAGTAGCATCTGTAGGACAGGTACTGTATATCTTAAACTAATAACACAGAAACGACTAAAATGTATTTGCTTTTAATAAGACATACAAATGCAATGACAAAAGTGGCAAAAGTGAAACGAGTGATAGAATTATCAGAACTTTTGTAAGTTTTCTATTCTGTTGACAATTGAATGGAAATCACAAT